TAAAAGGGCTAGAGTAGGAAAGCATGAGAGATGTCTTGGGGACGAGCAGCCCAGGAACGATTGCGCAACCACATCGCCTAGGGCCTAGCTTTCAACTTGACCACCACCGGCCTCTCGAGTTCCCAAGTTACCTGCAAAAATCGCAACACCTTCATCTTATGGCAGTAATGCTGTGGGCCAATATTCATTCAGCATTCCTCAACATCATCTCCCCGTATCCGGAAAAAGGGGTCGACAAACCTTTCAGCAACACCCGATCCCTTTTCAATCAATTCTCTTGCAGTGTATAGCATAGGTCAGACTTTTGGTGGTCAAAGTTGATGCTTGAGCAGAAACATGTTGCCCAGGAATGTTAGAGCGCAAGGTCATTGAAGGTCAAAGATTGGTTTCCCCACACATCATACGGCGCGCTACTTTGGATTCATGACAACAGCTTAGAATTATGCTCCAAGAAATACCACTCGTACCGTAATGCAGGATAGTCGATACCCTCCTCCATACATCCTTGGGTCACAGAAGTGACTCGGACGGTGTTGCCAGACGATTCCCTGAACGAGGACATCACGATTTCCTGCCGCCGTAATCTTCCTGAGGAGAAAATGTGAGCCCTCACGAATCACTATTGCCTGCACGTAAGTCTCATGTCAGCCCATGCTATAGCTGTGCACTAATGTCTCCTCGGCGCAAAGGAACATCATGCGTAACAAATTGGACGTACCGAGTGCCTTGTGGGTAAAACGAGTATTAGCCAAACCTCTGTGGTTTTACATTGTGGCCGAAAAGTAGATCCTCGCAAATTCCACCTTCCGTACTCGATTTGGAAATTTGCCGAACAAGGCTATGAAGATGAACAAACATGCCCATTGCTACTTATTCATGGCTACCAGAGCGCGGCGCATGAGCTCTCGAAGAATACTTGGAATCAGTGTTATATTCAAGGTACGACTACCTAGACATCAGAAGTTTCGATCAGCACTAATCATACATTCATGTTCAGGGTACCAAATCAAGGATAACCATTTCGCGCGAGCCAGACGAGGGAGCGTTGAGCAGCTTCTTCTCTGGCAGTATCTTCACTATCCCGCCAATCCGATACACCAGTTTTGTATCTCCCAATCCAATACGAAATACGACAACGAATGCCATTCATGGGTTCACCGTAACTACGAACAAACGTCGCCGTCAACTCGTACTTTTGCACACGGTGCTGGAGTAGTTCTTGATAGCTGGATGGTTGTTTCCCGCAGTATCCATATTCCTGGCACCACTCAATAGCACGCAGAGCGGCCTCTTCCTTGGCTGCGCTCTCACTATCCTGTGAAGAAGCTTGCCCGATCTTGATCCGACCAATCCAAAAGGTTGCGTTCCACTGTCGGGCTGTGGGCGATCCCGTCCATTCCACACTCAACGTTGAGGTCCAGCCATACTCTGTCAGGCGATATTGGAGTCGCTCGTGGTGGCCTAATACCCCCAACTGGGTATTAAACCAAGACATTGCGTGTTGAGCAGCTTCTTCCTTGGCTGCATCTTTGCTGCTATGCCACGAAGATTGGCCGATTTTGATTCCTCCGATCCAAAACGAGCCACTCCACTGCTGAGCGTGTTGCGGACCAGTGCATTCGACATTAAAAGTGGCACTCCAACCGTATTTCTGCAATCTCTGTTGGAGTAACTGCCTATAGCTGAGGGACTGGGCTCGATGTTGAATTTGGTTGTCCCTCTGTCGACTGGAGGAAGGTGCAGCTGTACGAGAGCCTTGATATCGATGCTGGATGGGATCTGGCATTCTCTCTATGGATATTACATGGATTTCGTCAGAAAACGACACGTCAAAAGCAGCTCAAGACCTTACTTTGATGCAGTAGGAGCGAAGGCGGGTCGTGGTCGGGACCAAAGCTTTGTTGAAGACGTTTGACACTATTTCAACTCTCGTTTCAATTGGACTACATTGTTTTCACTCGCAATTTTGGGGGGGAAGAAGTGCATTCACCATCCCCGCAATTACTCTTCTGCGTGGCATTGGCTTCCATTACACGTTCCTGCGTTCACATCTAATCTAGGGCTTAGCGCCAGCCTAGGGCATCTACCCCGGAGAGTCCGCCTTTACATCTTCGTCTACAACTGCACTAAATCATGGAAAATACTATACTCGACAACGAAGATGACGATGCAGAGCGCAACGATCTCGAGTCCTATCATACCTTTCCCTTTGTTCCCAGACGAGGCCGAAGAAATTCCATACATTTGAATTGCCAACCAGCTTAGGTTGTCATTATCGCACCCCTTTGCGGCCCTTGATGGCAGAAACGAGGCTAACCTCCACTCTCATCGAATTACGACATTCTAATACAGGAGATTCGTACCGTGGGTGCCCTTCACCGCTCCCAGAGAGGAGGATGTGGTGGGACGATTTTCAATGTCATTAGATCGACATCACGATCAGTTCATGACTCTAATACCGAATTGGAAAGTCGTTTATTGCTGAATTTCACCAGCCGAAACATTAGAGACATGTGCAAAGGGCTTCGGCCATTTCCAGTTTGATACTTGCTCCAATTGGGTAGCTACCTGCTTGATCGTAATTCGTTATCGGCAGAGAGGTACGACGCGATCTTAGTTACATAAGGAGGGAAATCGACTAACATTCATGTCAAAAGCAGGTTACAGGAATTCCCGCGGGAAAATCGCCACAGGTGCCTATTTCTTCCATTCTTATTTAATTTAGGGAATCGCGATTCCCTTTATGGAAGTTGTCAGAAGGAGTCAATACAAACA